GGGTTACAGAGCAGGCAGACCTAAGCGAGAACCCGGACATGCAAATACGAAGGATCTGTATCTATACGTCCGGAGAGGCCGTGCTGGTATGGAATCCCTACTCCGGAACCCCTCAGTCTTGGAGTGCTGAGTCCTCAGTCTTGGAGTGCTAGGCAGAGTCATACGCACCCTATAGCATCGAGATTATCCTAAGTTATAACATATAGGCTTCAACGGCTTCAATGGCTCGAACCGTGTTTTGGGGCTCATTAAAGCACAAAGATATGGGGACAATGGGGGCAGAGTATTAGTACAGTGTGTATCAGACCCTCATGTTAACCGTTAACCCTATTCATAACCACCCTCATGCTTTAGGCTAACTATGCAAGAACTGTCTCGTAAACTTTTCCACGAAAACTCTGAAAGCCATAGAGGTTCAACCGCCCCACACAGACCCAGACCAGCTAGGAATGTTGCTGCTTAAGTAAATTCCCAACATCGATTCCGAGTCGTAGGCTCCCCAGGATATTGACATAGGGACCCTGGGGTAAGGGACTTGTCCTAACTCGCGCCCGACACCATGTTAAACTATTCACCACACAACCAAACTCGAAAAGCCCCAAACCCCATGTCAAACGAGTACTAGGATCTAAATATACTTATGACCCATATTAGGGGACTTATAACCCCACTTATAACTACCCATCAACCTCCAAGTAAGGTTCATAGGGTTTATATCGGAATTAATTTCGTGTGAGTCCTAAAGCCTTTAAGCAATCAAAGGGGAAAAGGAGGGACCCTTAATGGGGACCCCTACCCTATAATAGTTATACTAAGGGTACAAACCTAGGGGTCCTTATGAAGGGTCCCTCCTTTTGCCCTTGGAAGCAAGGCATGCTCCCGCTCCATATAGTACATACTTAGGACCTATTTTGGATCCCCTTTAAGGCCTAAGTATATACTGTATGGCTACATGGAGCCTTAGGGTAAGCAAGGCATGCTCCCGCTCCAGCCTGCGGCTCCGGCGGCGTTGCCCTCACGGGCGCCCGCCCGGCCCGGCGTCGAAGAGCTGCCCTCCAGGTGGGAAGCCGAAACTTCAACGAATCATGCAAATACGAAACGATCCTCGGAACGTGAACAAGCATGAACGGCTTGTAGGCTGCAGGTTGCAAGCCCTTTCTCAGGCCTTTCATGTTTCATGTAAGGCCCAAGTAACATAAATAGCACTCAGGAATCCTGTTTGTGGAAGTATGGGAGGGGGTATGCATTCATCACATCTCTTCTGTTTGGAAGAGTGCCGCAAGTTAACGAAGCATGGGATTGCGGGGATGTCAACATGGTTGTTTCGCAGGGTCCTTGTGCACCCAAGGCAGATGAAGTCCTTGAGCCCCAAACTCCTATAACTTCCTTTGTTAGGACATAGGGCTCCTAGTTTGGAAAATGTGAAGCGCTACACCTAAAGCACCACTCCAAAGCCTTCAGCACCAAGCACTGGAAGCCTAAATGCGGCCAGGGCTGCCAGCGCTTTTCATTGGCGACCGCTTGCAGGTTTGAGCATAGGCCCTCCTCCTGCAACGGGATGCCGAGCATTACGGGGTTTGATGGTTAACTGTTTAGACGGATGGTAGTTCAGGTTTAGGGCGTAGGGCTGGTTCCTCGCAGGTTTTCTACAGCTGAGATCATGGGCTCCCTACTTAAAGAATAAGGGTGTTACAGGGCCTGTCGGGTGTTTGACAATCTGCACAAGATGTCGGGCCGGCTTGAGGTTTCTGTTTCAAGTCATCTAATATGTTACGTAAGTTTTGGAACATGGTTTCGTGGGGTGGACGCTTGGGCAACCCTAAGCCTAGGCCCTCTAAGCCCGGACCTTTTTGAGGCTGGAGGGCTTGTGCTTAAAGCCATAATCTCAACAAGCTCAAGCACGACTCACCAGGATCTTCATCCTATACAGCCTGCCAGATGAGGGCTAGGTGTCCCGTATTCAGGGGTCCTTGTACAAAGCATCCTACAGACTTTAGCCGATCTTGTTGGATTCGACTTCGCACCCATCGTTAAGGGAACCCCGTTCTGTTGAGAGAAAGTTCCGAAAGAGGAGCCCGAAACCCGAAAAGCGGTGGAGGCACAGAAGGTTTAGTAAGTCGATTACAAGTAGAGTTGTAAGTACCTGAAGCGGGGTTCTCGTCCCTAGCAAGCCCCCCGGGTCCTTCAAGCCTGTCTCTGCACTCACCGAATACAGAGGATAAAGAGCATGATCCGAATCATGAACCCCCTTAAGAGGGGAGTTTCGGGAGGTCTCGCCAGCGCGGGCATCGCGGCGAAGGTTTGCCGGCGAGCACAGAAAGGAGGCCACTAAAACGGGCTGCTTTGGGAAGTGAGGGCTTTTGAAATTTCAGTTTTGAGCGGGTTTGAGTTTAGCTAGGCCTTGTGCAGTTTTGAGTTTAAACTTGCAAGTTGTTAATGTTGCTTAACCGTTGAGTTTGTCTTTGGTTGTTTGGGATTTCGCACGGACCGAGGACCCATGCATTTCTTCTCGACGGGGTGCAGTGCGTAGGGATGGCTTTTAATGAGGGTGTCGATTGTTCCGGCTCGCGACTGAGTATGTTCATCACGAATCCTAGACCCTACGCGCGAAGCCTCAAAGCCTACGCCGTATACCGGCCCTAAACCCAAGAACTCCAAATCCCCAAAACCCTAGCTTTTTTGGTATCCTTAAAGCATTTCTATAGGGCCCTTGTATTGTAGAATCCTCAAAGAGTCCTTCTATGACAAAGAGTATAGAGCACGTAAGGAATCCTCAGCGAACTCTGAAGGAGCCCTTATAAACCGGCTTACCAGGAGGCCCAAGTGGGCCGGTCCTGAGAGAGAAGAAGCGTGCACGGAAGGCTCATGGGGGTGCTTCTCGGGGGTGTTGGGGTCGTGGGCTTTTTTGCACTTTCAGGCTCAGGGGACTTAGTAGATTTACGCCACGTAGAACCTAACCTACTTACCACGACTCCTTATCAGGTAAACCTTAAAGTTGTATGGCTCCCAATATGCTCAGGGATGTTGGGGCTTCGGGGTTCTCGCTGCAACGACCATGCTCCACAATCAAAGGATCCATCGACAGGCAATTGCTGTCATTTGCACACCAGACAAGCTAGTGCGGCCAGTCCCGCGCATGCTCCAACTTTCGGGTTGTAGTTTCCCTTAACTTCCATAGCATACTGTGTGTTCTATGTGGTCTCTCTCATTAACTCAAGTGTGAACTTATGGTACAGGGGTGCGACCAGAATCTGGGTCTGGTGGCTGGAGGCAAGTCGCCTCGACACCGTTAGCATGCCTTGCGTTGGAGCACAGCGTTCAGGGAAGCATCCTCGTGAACCCTCCTGAACGACTATCCATAATGACATGAGCAGGGGCATGTACTGTAGCTAAGTGTAGAGTTTTCGATGCAGACTAGGGGCCGACAGGTATAGAAGTTCAACTCTAGTGGCGTGTTCTGAAGACTCCTCGCCGGCTCCGGATCTATGAGCGTTTTGCCAGGGCATCCCAAGTAACTACCTGTTTTTCACCAACATGTGCTTCTGAAACAGGAAGTCCGATTATGGTTCGTGTTCGTATTCACAATAAATAAATATATATATATATATATATATATATATATATATGTATATATGTATATGTATATATGTATATGTATATGTATATTATGTATATATACATATCGGTGCTGGGGACGTTTTGGGACTCGCTTTGAGAGAGACCGCGAAGCCCGGAGGACGCGAAGGAGCGCCGCCTGGAACAGTTTCGCACGCCCTACGTGGCGAACCGCGCCTCCGCCGCGTTTGCCTCGAGGGTTTAGAACCAAACTTTTGAGGCGCGAAGAGGCCATAAGGGTTCCAGCAGGTTCTACTTAGAGGCCCAGGGGACTTAGTAAATAGGTTATAATTGGGGTTATAACTCCCCTAAGTGGGGTTATCCTAATTAGAACCTACTTATAACCCTACTTACTAAGTCCCATGAGCTTTCAAGTACACAGGTTCTACAGGGGGCAGGGGTATGGGGTTCAGGGTTCCAGGAGATCAGCGCTTCGTGATCGGCATTTGGGACTCAAGGGCAATAGCATGCAGGCCATACAAAGCGGAGGTAAAACGATGTGAATAATGTACGGAGCAACTATATATATATATATATAGAGAGAGAGAGAGAGAGAGGAATGCCATGACTTATCGTCATGATGCTGCAAGCCCCCATAAGCCCGTACCAGAATTTCTTACTCGAATCTCTCGGAAGTCGGTTGAGGGTTCCAGGCGCTTAAGTGCTCCTTCACAAGGGTGCAGGGGCTTGTAGGGCTTCTCAACTTTATGTTTACAGGCTTAATGTTGAGCTTCGAGGCAGCGGGATGGAAGAGATAGAGTTCGGTAGTGTTCAGTGCATGGTTTCCGACTGTGCAAGCTTGAAGAGCACCAGGCGGGGAGGTTCGAACTGTTGCCTTTCCTATCCCCACGCCATGCATCTCCCGAACTCTGCAGCACCCAAGATCTGCTGACCCGCTCCACAAGCTGCCTGACAGTCATACTCTCTCCGGAAGGTGAAGAAGCCGTGTGGCAAGTTTCTGCTCTCTCAATCGGGTGTGGAACAGGAACGACCAGACATGCGCACCAGTGGCCCAAGACACGTGTGAAAAGGCCAGTTGCCCTCGAGAAATGCCCTGGTCCCTAGCTTTCTTCTGTAGCCACAAACCCTAACAACTTGTAAGCAGCCGCACCAGAACCGACAGCCTGCGCACCTGAGACTCCCCCAACCAGCCAGGAAACGAGCCGCCCCCCCTCTCGGCGAGGGGTTCGCCGAAGACCGGCGCTTGGGAGAAGGTCGGGATACTTCAGCTTCTACCAAGAGACTGTTGTTTATTTTCTGTCTCAGTGTGTTATGAACCCTAAACCCAAACCCCAAACCCTAAACCCAAACCCCAAACCCTAAACCCAACACCCACACCCCAAACCCTAAACTCTAAACCCAAACCCCAAACCCTAGTTGGGAAAATGAGCTCATTGGGGAAGAAGCACGTACAACGTGCATGCTCGCTCATTAAGCAACAGCTCATGGAGTCATGTGTCGATAGTGGAGCACTCGCTCTTGCTTTTGACATATTGGCGACCATCCCTGAGGAATACAAATCGGGGAAGTGGACCGAAGAGAGGTATTTGTCGGCTATGCCTGCGGCTGGCAGAAGATGCGCCAAGGGAGCTGAAGAGAAAAGCGCACGTCAAGCCGAACGAGGCATTATCTCAGGAGAAGCCTCGCATGATCATCACATCCGGTGATGAGGGTGTGGTCCGCCACATCCTTGACAGTGGATTGTTGGAGCACGCCCTTTTCAACAACCCCCTCTTTGAGCAAAGATCGCTCAAGCATGCTTCCAGGCGGGAGTTCGGGCGGCGTATGGGTGAAATGATGCGCTGTTATGAACATGCCTGTAGTATGGATTTTGGAGCTTTTGATGGGAGCTGCACGCGTGAGTGCCGAGACCTCATCGAAAACGACATTATTTTATCCATGTTTATGAAGCTCATGAGCGCGGAGCCCATGGACGGCCTGATACACGCGGCGGTCAAGGACAGGATTAAGCAGAAGGCGAACATCTCTGTCAAGATCGTCGTCAAGGCCGTGATATGGGATATGATCAGAGAGAGCGGCGATAGAGGGACGAGCATCCTGAATTTCCTGACAAACCTCACGCTTTTCTATGCAAACATGGCCATGTTGCTCGAGAAGCGAGGCGTCAAGGAGAAAGTGATCAAAAAGATGATCATGGAGAGTCTCAAGAGCGGCAATCTCGCCAACCTGATGGGAGAAGGGGACGATGGGCTCCATGTGTTCAAGGAGGCCTTTGTGCGGCTGATCGGCAACAAGTACGAGTTCGGTCGCGAGTGGTGCCGAGGATATGAACACTTCGTTCAAGATTGAACTACAGGGTCCAACAGGCGATCTTGAGTTCCACGAATGCGTCACCAGTACGCAAGAGAGGCTGGAATTCTGCTCAAAGATCGCAGTGGCAGTGGGCTCGGAGACCTATTACTTCCCTAAGCCGGCCAAACTGAGCAACTCCCTGACAGTATCCTTCGACATGGGGAATCCACGAAGCATTGCCGGATACACGAAAGCCGTCGCGATGATGTCAAATTGTATACATCAGCCACTTTTGCTCGCCCTGTGCAAAGCTATTGCGACAGGCCACAAAGAGGACGGTGGCACTCTTGATGTGAAGCATCTCACGAGACTCTTGGGTCCTGGTGAAGAGATCGGCGAGGACGCTGATTACGAGGAGCGGCTGACGATCGAGACGCACGTTTCCTCAGCGACACCATCGCGCCATCCAGAATGATGCAGGCATTGGAGCGCGAAACTGGGATCACAGTGGCTTATCAGGAAGACGCCATTCTGGCGCTTGGCACGGGCAACCGTGATACGGTGACCGCGTGCCTCAAGGCGTTGAGAGGCTGAGCCGGATGGCCGACCTGAGCAAGTCGTTAAACTGCTCATCCTGGAGAGTCCCCACGCACATGGGAGAGCGCCACCGGGGTGATGCCAAACACCCCTCACCTGGTGAAAGTTGTGGTGTAAAAAGACGTGCCCGACGTATATTCGCCGACCAGGGCGAGCACCAAGCACTTCTGATGAGTCCACTAGGGCAGCAGCATGGACGAAAGACCCCCATAGTGGCGAGGGTGACGCCATCTTGCGAGGGAGGCTATGGGGTGGGACATAGGGCGTATACGGTTGCTAAGTTCCCGTGATCACAGGCTGTGCCACGATCACAATAGGGAGCGAGATCGTGCCCTCGGGTGAACACGAATGAACGTGACGCATCGTGTGGGGTGGTGCGACAGCACACGGTGTATGTGTCCCAGAAAGGCTGCGGGGTATGACTCGCGCTTTCGAGGCCAAACGGCCTCACCCAGCGGTGCACTGCATGGGCATCTTTGCGTACGACCGACGTTGTTAGATGTCCGGGACGAACGGTGCTTAGTGGCCGAAAAGTATCCTGAGAATTGGCTGGCTACCATATCGATGGACTGGGTATGCAAATAAATTTGGCTTCAGCGGCTCATGGTGGTGGTCGGCCGCACCCTGGAAGCAGCAGTGGAAGGGGAAAACAAGGACACCATGGTTGAGGTGGAGCCTGAAGAGGACGAGGACCACCTCCTGCTCCAGACCTTCGTGGAGTGCAATGAGCCGAAGGGAATCCCAGGGCTATGTGAGGGAGAGACCGATGAAACGAGTCACATGATGACACACTCCTTCAAGGGGCTCAAGTACCAGGCCAGCAAGTACGACGAGGACTGGTTCGAGTGCCTCTCTCACTTGCATGAGGCGTTGAACTCTGGTGCTTGGAGAGATGGCAGCAGGTGGAAGTTTACTTGCCGATCGAGCTTGGCTCGCTCGCAGCAAGGGGGGCGGCTGTGGGCATATGTGACCATGACCAGTCCTCTCCATGCAGCCTCTACCTGCTGACAGCCCTGAACCACCGAGCTCACCACAAGCGGATCCTCCTGGTGGATTTGCAGGACCTCCGATTCCACAACCAATCCACGACACGGCGCTTGACCCCGACCTGACGGACCTCTTGGAAGATGAATGGAAAGCCCAGCAAGATCGCGAACCGAGAGCGAAGGGAAGAAGAATGGATGGATGCCATCAAGGCCAAAGAGCTGCAGGAAGAGTTGCAGCGAGAGGAGCAGGCCATGGAGAGGTACAGGTCCATGAGGGCGAGGGAATGGGACGATTGGGCAATGTGGTCTGAAAATGCATGGCAAGCCATCGGTGGGCAGAAAGCGCACGGTGCTCACCATGGAGGTCGCTTCAGGGAGCTCGGATACCCCGAGAGTTGCCAAAATCCTCAAGGTGCCCTTAGACGAGGAGCAGGGGGCCAGATTGGTCGTCGAGCTGAAGGTGGCGAACGAGGAGACGGGCGAGGATGCAGAGACTCAGGTGCTACCGGGGACAGCAGTTCTGCCTGCCTCCAACGAGATGGCGGACTTGACGAATGCGGTCGACAAGGGTTCAGTCCCTGACTCGAGTGAGGCCCCGACGTTGATGATGGCAGGGGTGCAGGAAAGTCCGCCTGGGATCCCACCTGACTTGACCATGGAGGACTACAGGATGATCTTCGCGGAGTGGGAACAAGGGGACCTTACAGATCGGCAGGTTCGTGACAAGTACGGAGAGGCTCTGCTCGAACTCTTCCAGACCCAGCACATCGCCTACATGGAAAGTCGGGAGGAATCTACACTCGATTTGTTGGGCATTGGTCCTATGATGGCGACTTCGGCGGAGAGGGTGACACCATGTACGAGGGATCCAGGGGCTGAGGAAGACCAACAGGAGCAAGCCGGAAAGGAGTGAGAGTCAGGGTTGTGGATGGGCGACAGAGTTGTCCATATCTCCTGGTAAGCCAGGCCTTGATGTTTGTGACCCGGGAGCAGGCATCAAAAAGGAGCTCAAAAAAAAACCAAAACCCAAACCCTAAACCCTAAACCCAAACCCCAAACCCTAGACCCTACACCCAAACCCTAAACCCCTAAACCCAAACCCCGAACACCAAACCCAAACCCCCAACACCAAACCCCAAACCCTAAACCCTAACCCCTAAACCCCTAAACCCTGACCTCCTCAAGTAGAAATCATTGCCCGGAGGGCGCACCAGAGATTGTAGATCCCTTATAGATTTGAAGACACCTTAAAGGAACCTTATTCTAATGTTCAAGGCCCCTACATTAACCCTAAACCCATCATTGCCCCGAGGGCGCACCAGAGATGGAGTCGATGCGGCAGGGGCAGTTCCGATCGCCCTGGACGAACCAGGCCTCCACTGGGTTCCCTTAGGAAACTTAGAAATAGTTTTTTAGTTTTTGGTTGTTATAATCCCTAAGAAACAGTGGGTTCCTTTAGGGTTTAGGGTCTCTAAGGGTTACTATAAGGGATCTATGATAGAGTTCTATAGTATGATTGCTATGGGGTTAGTGGCCTGATCTTAGGGGTACTTAGAAATGACTTTTATTTTTTGGTTGTTATAATCCCTAAGAAACAGCTGAAGTTATAATTTTTGCCTAGGGTTATAAGTTCAGTATGGTTCGGGAGAGTCGACGCTCGGATCTTTGCAGGATTCAGGGTTGATTCATATGGGGCCGTGTAGCATCTGGAAGTTATAGCCGCAGTTTTCTTAGAGAGGCTTATGCACGAGTTTTGTAAGCTTGAAACGGGAACTGTTTAGTTCGGGCCTGTGGTCTTTGTTTACCACTGCTGTGGGCACGGATCTGGCCTCCGCCCAAGTAACCAACCACCCCAAGACGACCGGCATTTGTGAACTTCATGCATATCTTTGGGTATGCCTCTGCTCTGTCAGACAGTTCTGCTTCAGAAAGTGCTGGTACACCGCCGCATGTAGGTTGTCCCACTCTCCGAGCAGGACAGAGGCTTCCAAGCATTTCTACGTATGAGGCGTGGTGCATTTGGAGCACACTTGCAAATCAGTGCAGTTTCGCTTCAACGATTTTTGCCGAATGATGACCAACGTCATCTCCATCTTGCAGCTCGATAGCCAATACATTGCAAAGCCCAAACCCCAAAGCTCGCAACAGTAAGCGCAAACCTGTGCTCAGAGCCCAGCAGCCGATGCCGAAGGTCTACGACCGCTGGGCCCCGGAAGATAACAAGCAGCTCAAGACCGACCGGCAGGCCGGACCAAGGGATGTCTGAAGCGAATTCGAATTTTCAAGTGGGAGCCGTTGAGCCCAGGAGTCTCGCAAGCCGCCTTTCACACAGCTTGGCCGTGCTCCTCAAAACAAGTATTTAGGATTGAATAGGTATAGTTTGTAATTTCCTGTTTCGGGCAATGCAGGCATTGCACAAATGCACATACATAGTGCCTTGGTGTGAGTGCGCGCGCGTTGTTTCCGTCTGTGGGCCGGTTACCATTCCGTGTCTCGAATATCACAATCGCGACACGTAAATAGTATGGGCTCACGGACATGAGAAAACAGTAACTAGGTTTAGGTCTGTTGGGCGTAAGGCCGCTGCAAGCAGCAGAGGGGGCTCCAAGTACCACCATGACGTGTATCAGAATCCCTTAACAACGATCAGGCCCAATTCTCGTAGCTGCACTTCGGAAAAGCGATCAAAGGTTCTAGCAGACCGCCAGCAGCTAGCTATCACCGTCCGCATCGTAATGTATACCAACGAACCTTCGTTCATCTTCGAATAACCAGGAAAATCAACTTAAACATTCCTGAACCCCTGTTGAAGAGCTGACCCTGAAGCCCTACACGCCTTAAATCCTCGATCCGAACTGTTCAGCGGGTATTCAATACCCGCCAGCACCCTAAACACTTTCTGAACCTGAACAAGGTCTTGTCAGCATAAAGTCAAGACCACGCCCTAGTCTAGTCATTTGGGCGTCTATCTCAAAAATACTCATTCAAGAATATCATATACTGTAGTGTAGCTACTGAAAAAACCAGCGCCTGGCATATCGTTGCAGGGCGGCCTCGCACGGGCGAGGGCTTTCCAGACCCCAACGCAGCGGCCGCACGTCGAACAAAGCGCCTTTAGGGTCATACGATCGTAGTACACTGCAGTATACCATAGTACATGTTTATTGTTTTTTATAGTAGGTTATCGTATACTACAGTATGTTATGGTACACTATAGCATATTATACAGTATACTATAGTATGTTATAGCATAGAGTATACTGTAGAGCGGTTGAGAGTTTAGGATCGAGAGTCTGCACATGCTACCTGAGTGTTTCAGCTGCATGCTCCGGGCCCGCGGCGAACTTACCAGGACGGGAGAAGCATGTTCAGAGAGTTGATGTTGAAAATCACGGCAACTGCTTGTACAGTTTAGTTGCCATACCTTAAGCCTCGACCCTGAAGCCCGAAAGCATAAACCCTCCATGAACGCCCTAAATCCCTAAAGCCACCCACCAAAAATCTTGTACTATCTTATGCCTCTAGATCCCCAAAGCCTGTAATGCCCCCACCCCTGACCATCCAGCATATCTATCCCCAACACGAAAGCTTAAAGACACAAAGCACACGGCCCAAGGCAAATCCAAACGGCTGTGGAAGAGCGGGAGGCCGACAACACGCCGGAGTGGAAGAAGTTCTATCCAGGCCCCAGTCTTTCAGTGGAGTTCGATAAGGCATCCATACGGCTTTAAACGTTGTCTTATTGAGGTGTTTAAATTCCATTCGGAGCTACAGCGCTGCTCAAAGCAGGTTTTCGGGGATCAAGTTTGTGGGGTGTGTCTGGTCTGGTACGGGCGTATGGGTACAGGTGTGTCTTCTATCTTGAGGCTGGGTTGAGTTCGGAAGGGCGCTCAAGTTTTATTTAAGGGTTAAAGGGATCAGGGGTCGAAGGTTCATGGGTAGCTATGGATAGCTTTGGTTTGGTGGTTACAAAGGGCCGGGATTAAGAGTTTGTGTTTCGATGCCTCACTGGTGGTTGTAGCTCGGTTCATGCGAGCCTCAACAGCCTTTTAAAGGGCCGATGGAGCTTTATGGCGAGGATTCACGAAGCACGAGTTCAAGATTTCAGCCCTGAAGCCCATTCTAAGACAGCGATCACCGAGAGCAACACGACTGCTCTCGGACTACTCGTACTACTGCTGCTGCTGCTACTGCTATTGAGCTATTGCTACTGCTACTACTGCTACTACTGACTACTACTGACTACTACTACTACCACCACCACTACTACCACCACTAAGGCTACCACTACTGCTACCGCGGCGACTGCCTCTGCGACCGCCACTGCCGCTACGACTAAGAACACTACCACACTAACACCGCAACTACCAATCCTAAACCCTACGACAAGTAAAGCATCGGGAAGCCGTAAGCACTGAATCCGTAATCCCCGAACCAAACACAATCCGGGAGGCCTCGCGCCGGTATACACACTGCCAAAGAACCAGCGCCAGACGGGTGCCCAAACGAATGTTTTCGAGAGGCCCGGGTTTGGGGATTTTTCAGGGTTCTTTGCTGTGGGGCGTCCTGAATGCTAAGATCTGAAGTTCAGACCCTTCGGCTTGGAGACTTGAGGTTTGCATACGCTTCCAGTGAATGGGATGTTGCGTTGTTGAATGTTTATAGGGCTTCGGAGTATGGGTCTTTGGATCTGGCGGGGGGCGGCGATGGAGTCTCCACATCAACATGGGTGGTTGTCAAATTATGGTCCTCTTTGGGTCCTTAATATAATACGGCACCTAATATTTAGGGTACCCAAAATGGGGCCCATAATTTTGACAACTACCCACATGAAATTTCAGATGGGTCCTAAGCACTTCCCTCGGGGCAGCGCGCGCAAGCCTGGGCCATATGGCAGTTTCCGAAAATCAGAGGTACCTTAGTTTGGGGTCCTTCGGTTGATGGTATAAATCCTGCATGACCCATAATAAGGAATGTATCATAGTTTAGGGTCCTTAAGGTAATGCAGGATTTATATCATCAACCGTTAGAATAAGGATCCTACAACTCAGGGTACACTATTGGGGTCCCCTATTTTCGGAAACTCCCATATGTCGTTATGTCCGACGTATGTCCTGTGGCAACGACAGAGAGCAGCCCAACAACTACATCGAAGTTTCATGCCGCTAAACCCCTAAACACTGCAAAGAGTCTCCTGAAGTGAAAACCGAAGGGAGCCTTTCAGATTCGCTGTTGTTATCCTGCGACATACACCAAAATCCTACATGCATAATGCCAAGGTTCCTAAACAGCACGTGCTCAAAATCCCGTAAGAAATCGCCGAAGCTTTACTACTTGGAGGCCCAGGGGACTTTGTAAGTAGGTTATAATAGGGTTATAAGTACCTTATAACCTACTTACTAAGTCCCCTGGGCCTTTAAGTAGAAGTGTCATAAAACTCTCAGGCACGCCTTCCGAGCGGGGAACTTCGGCGACATTTTCAAGCAGACGATCGTGCAAACGGTGGTCGACTTGAAAGTGAACAAGAAGGCCCGGTCTGGAATTTTGGGTTTGAGGTTTGTTTGGAGTTTATGGTTTTGGGCAGGTCTGTTGTTGCAGGTTTGCTGTTGTTTGGTTGGTTGTTGTTTGTCGTTTTTGCTTACAGGTGTCTGCTTTGTGTTCTACTTGTTTTTGTTTACTGGAAACAGGATCTCGTGTACGGCTGCATATAAGGTCTAGAAGAAGTCTTCTTTGTAGCTTTAGTCGGCTTGTAGTGGTGGTTCATAAGGTTTTAGTCATTCAGGGTGCGCGACTCAGGGTTTGATTTGCGGCTTGGGCAGTCAGGGTTTGCAAGGGCCAGCAGGGTTTCGGTTTCAGGGCTTAGGTCATAGAGGGGCTTCTGGTGCTGTAGCATCCTGCGGTACGGGTTTATATATTACAGTCTTCGGTGTGATTGAGGGTTTGGGCCCCGCTGGACCTGATCTCTCGAGGCCAGACACAGCAGACACCCAGAGATCCGCGGAGGTTCCGCAGAACGCGCAATAAAGGTTTTCCAAGATTGAATAAGTCCCGACGCATATCGAACCCGTGGCCCATAAGCCCAAAAATCATAACAAAGTTACGACCCACATACACCCCAGGCCTCGTTTGCTTTCGTTTTGCAAAGCAGGACGCCGCATCACCGGTTTGGTATGTGGAGCCTTGCGGTGGCGAAGGCGGGTACTATAGGGCTTGATTGGTATCGCAGTTGTTGTATGATGTAGGTCTCATGACCTCGAAGCCTACATCCCCCCATGATCCTCCCAGCAGCCCCATGTTCCGGGTGCAGCATGTGTAGCGCAGCTGTTTCAAAGCCCTCGGTGATTGACTGTCACCCCTACACAGAGCCGCAAACCCAGCGGCTTCTATACCATCCAAGCCAGAGGTTTCACCCGATTGCGCAATGTGCTTTGAAGTATATAATTGTTTTGGGCCTAGGGTTCTCGCTGAATGTCTATTCAATTCTAACATCGAATGCATAGGTACCCTGCAGGAACCCCACAGGAGAAACCCGTAATTGTTCAAAACAATCCCTAAACCCTGAACTTAAAACACTGAACCCAGGTGGGTGGGGTGGGTGGGTGGGTGGGGGGGTGGGTGGGTGGGGTGGTGGGGTGGTGGGGGGGGGTGGGGTGGGTGGGGTGGGTGGGGTGGGTGGGGTGGGTGGGGTGGGTGGGGTGGGGTGGGTGGGGTGGGGTGGGTGGGGTGGGTGGGTGGGTGGGTGGGTGTGGGGGTGTGGGGGTGTGGGGGTGCCCTGGACCCGCGGAACCCTTGTATTCAACAACATGAGCCCTTGAAAGCTACCACCTCAGCAACGCAAACGCCACGTTTGAGGCTCCTCAGCGCCCATGAGGGAATCTCTCAAGCAGGGAACCCCGGTCCCGGTCTTAGGGATTCCCGGGGTAGTGTATCCCCATTTGGACTGCGGTCTATTATTGAGGGTTTGGGGTTTCGAGTTTAGGGCGTTTGTCAGTGACTTGGCAGGCGAATACCATGTCCAGCGCATGCGCAGTGAGATGGACGATCGGAAGCCGATGAAGTGGCCCACGGCTGAGGACCTCGTCTGTTTGATACAATATAGAGCCCGGAATGACTATGTAGTAGCAATAGACCCTTAGTCGCCACATCAGCATAACAAAACTATGTAAAACGGCCCCAACCGAAGCCTAGTTGCCAAAACTGACTAAAACCATTTTGTTAGGGTCACCAAGGGTTCCAATATTCCTTAACTACTGGTACCTCTTCAAGCACTCCTTGTAGAGCAAACTGCTTGTAAAGCAAAGGAACGAGTACTTTCCTCTGAGATGTGGAATTAGCTGCACTTGAATAGTTGAAGAGAGGAGGCCGCCGCAGCTGTGCATGGGAGTTGTGGGAGCTTTTGTAAAGTTTCTGTCGGCTTCTGCAGACTGCCGTGGCTTTCTAAAGAGACTTGCAGATGTTTAGGGCTGCGCTTCCGGGAACCCTCACTACGCGGAGGCCATCAACTCCAAAACTTGAAGCGGGACTCCAAAACTCAAACCCTCCATTGATTTGACCGAAGGACCTCTACTCCGTTTTGGAGAAGGAGGACCTGACGTACATGCCCATGGAGGTCAAGGGATGGATGGACTCGGTGAAGCTGCTGACGCCCGGTGCAGATTCGGGGAGATGAACCCTGGAAGCCCTGAGCCCACTTACAGATGCAGTTGCTTACTGTATTGTCTGCGATCCTCATACATATTCCTAAGTCCGACGGATTGCAGTTACGGGAGAAGTCCTAGTGTCAATGAGCGATGGACGACGACGAGTACTACGACGGTGACTAAGTACTTGTACTATATTGCTGCTCTCATATCACGGCCGGCGGCCCCTGCTATGCCCAAGGAATTTCAATGAGAACATGGACTGGGAGGTGAAAGGCGAAGGACCGGACCTCGCGAGGGGGCGTGGTCTGTTCGATTTAATTTCCAGGGTTTCGTGGGATGTTCTTAGATCTTGAATCGTTTGATGAGGAACCTCGCTGGGCTTCACTCAACACTCGGGGAGAAGACACGAGGGCTTCAAGTTGTCATGATCTGCGAGTGTGGTAGATAGTTAGCAACTGAGTAAACAACCGTTACACGGACTTGAGCTCCCCAATGGGGATCTCTCACCCCATCAGATTTGAACCGGTAGGCTTTTGGGCCCGGCAACTCCGCCAGTTGCTAGAGACACAGAGAGCTTTTGACTGCCTGCAGATGCTGTTTTGAACATCGCGTGCTGAAAGCCGAAACTCTTGGCAAGATAACCCCCATACGCTTAGCCCCGGTTCTTAAACGAGACACACACACACACACACACGCATATACACTGACACAGGGTTTAAAGTTGGATGACACGCAGATCGAGACGCTGGGACCCCAGGCCCCGAGTCCGAATTTGGGTTTAGGGTTTAGGGTTTAGGGTGAGAAGAAACAAGTGACACCTAAGTTCTGAGACCAGTAAAGTATATGCAACACAAGCCGAAGTCTAAAGGCAACGAAGCCAAGCGTGTAGCCATGCATCCGGAAGAAAGCCTAAGCCAAACGAACAGCTCGTGAAGATGCCTGAGAACCTAACCACACCCTGCAACCCTAAACTCCAAAGCCCCTCTGTATCCATGTAGAACCCGTTTACAACCCTACTCACCCTATACTCACCCCCCCACACACAACAAAGCATTCTACAGAAGCAAAAGAAGTCTCTAGAGGTGGTCGTTTTTGTGGTATGTTTCCTGCTCACAGGAGCCATGGAAGCCGAGGAACAGCAAGGCATTCAGTCGCTGGTCTCCGCATATTGGGGATTGGGGCTGGGGCGTTTACAGTAAGGTTTACATGAAGTTTTGGGATGTTTGGGATTTAGGATTGGAGGCTTCGCTTTTTGTTTTGACGGGTTTGGACTAGGAGGGTTTAGGATGAGCTACTTGGGGGCGGTTCCATAGTTGAATGCAGGGTCTATGATGAGGCCTAGGGTGTCGATCATGGGCTACGCATCAGGGCTTTGTGATACAGAACGGCTTTTTTGTTTTGTTCCCACCAGGGGTTCAGGCTTTTCTTATCCCGCCACCAGTTTGTAGTCCCTGATGTGGCGAACTACCCACTTACAGGTTCATGGCAGTTTTAAGTGGGCGCAGTAAGGCTTTACCTTTGATACCTTTGATGTCGGCGAGCTTTATAACGGTAGATCAGACTGCCCATGATCGTCCAAGTCGGTCGGAATCAGGAGGGTCTAAACGAGGCCCTCGCGCAAGCTTGCGTAGATGTAAGACAGCAAAGTTTTCTCGGTTCAACAGGGTAGATTTAACATTGGGCTGTTGTGCTGTAAGGCCCTGCGGGTGCGCAGTGGGAAACAAAAAGGTTGACTGGGTTTCACTTCTGCACTCTGAAGCCGGAAACGCCTCTGTCCGGACACCTTTCCCTCGCAGCTTAAACTCTACCTTAACCCAAATAACCCACCTTTCCAAAGACTTATATAAAGAAATCATAATAATCAGGGAACCCGAAAAAGGTAGGTTATTTGGGGTCGAGGTAGACCCCAAATCAAGCCATTGAGCTCTCCACCCCTGCCAAGGCCTTGAGGGTCTCTGAAGTTCGAGTTTAGGTCTCTTCAGGGTTTAGGGTCGGAGTGGGAGGTACAGCCATGAGAAGTCTGCTAAAGCCCACTGCAACGCCGCACAACTACTTCAATACGGATCCGAAACTGATAGCTGGTATACATAATCGCTCTTTGCAAGAGCTCGCAACGACTTAAGGTCTTCGAACTCAACTCTAAAGCCCCGCACGAAACACGTCGTGCCTTCAAGGTACACCGAAGCTTACACAACCCTGCAAAACACCAGCCCCTCCACACTCCCTTTTTCAAAACCGAAGACATCAAGCCGATACACGTGCTATACACAAGTTGGTACAGCGTAGGTAGATACTTCAGCTAAAATGCACATGTGAGGGTGCATGCTTGTGTGTATCTGCATGTATGTATGTATGTATGTGTCTGTATGTATGTATGTATGTATGTATGTATGTGTGTGTGTGTGCATGTATGTATGTACGTATGTATGCATTTGTCTACGTATAATATGTATATATATATATACAGATATGTACACATCCGTGTTTCTTTCTCCTTTTGTTTATTTATTCATTAGTACCTTTGTATCTGATATTTATAATGCATATGCAAGCAGCTGAGGTGGCTCCCAAGCTCGACCTTAGTCGCTACGCGGCTTCTTAGCGCCTCGGCGCCTGAGGGATCCCGGGCCTTCGTTGCCTTCGGGGCTTCGTGTTCCCATGTGTTCCTTAGGGGTACTTAGAAACAACTTTTAGTTTTTGGTTATTATAACCCCTAAGAAACAGCTAGAATTACAATTTTTTGCTAGGGTTCTAAGTTCAGTATAGGTTCCCTTAACCGTGACTATAACATAAGGTTCCCATCTGGGCAGCTCAGGGGTCGCTACCCTGACTAAACCCTAAACCCCTAAACCCTCATACCCTGAACCTTCTATATAGGTTCTATATGAGGGTTCTGCCCTTTTGGTTTGGGGGGCTTTGGGTTCTCCTAAGATTTAGAGCTTGGGATTTTGAATTCTGTGGTTGGGGCTTCGTGGTTTCTGCGGGTCCTTACAGTCTTAAAGATGGATCTCTTTCGGCAAGGGAGGCCCAGCAGAGAATGAAGGATTCCACTGACCATAGACCTGAAGAGTGCTGGACTCTGCAGGTGACTTGCTCAAGATCCGGCATCAATGTGTAGGCTTTACGCAGGCTTTACGGGTTAGGCCATGGGGGGGTCTCCAACCAAGTCACCTCGACCTAGTTATACAGACATCCACGGCTGCGTGCATGCCTGGCTCTGATCACTTCGAGATGTCGGTTCCAGTAGTATTTAGGCTCGTGGCTTTGTGAGACTGCAGTTAGGATGCTTCGCAGGCATGGCTGGTTAAAGGGTAATTATTGGAGTCCTCGGGCAGGGTGCAGGGTGTGCTTGTCACGTTCGAGGAAAGCAAGATCCCGTCACCATCTGGGAGGACTGCCGGTTGAGAGCTTCAAAGATCTAAGGGTCTGGGGCTTGCGTAGTTGGTAAGTCGCTATATAGTTGTGGACCAAGGGCTCTAGAGACAAAGCCTGAAAAGCACACATTGGGGCCTCAATAGTCGAAATCGGGTTCTAGTGTACCTTACACCATAACCGAAATGCAATCCTATGACCAGGGATATGTTTCCCCTGGATCTTAAACTTTAAACCGCACTTATATAAACCCGCAATCCTAAACCGTTGACCGTAAACGCTAAGGCCGTAAGTTTCAGACCTCCATCTTGAAGCACAACCCTGCTAAGAACGTGCAGCAGCAGACTCAACAAGTCTATCTTGCAGAAGGTGTCGTTAGAATCGTTAGTAGTTCTGCGAGCGTTCTCTTGTTTCACACGCCAAAGAGCCACAGTTGAAGACTCTGGACTAAGCTCGTCTGAGCCCTGCGCTTCGCCTTTCCATTGCCTCATGCCCTCAGGACAATCGCGCGGCCTTCGCTGCCATGTTCAACTTCGCTGCCCGCCATGAACGAGTTTAACATGAGTAGGGCATTAAAGGGAACTCCAGAAAGTTGGAATATGGTTTCATGGTAGGATACCTTATAATTTACCATAAAGGGCTTAGGATAATCATATTCCAACTTTCTGGCTTTTATTTTAAGGTCTAAAGCTGAAGGTTTAGGCTTTGAGGCCAGGGCTATCCCCCAGTATTTTTCTAGCGTTTATAGGCTAAGGGCTGAAACGCAATATGTTGAGTCTGCGCGTTCTTCAACCCTAAGTAAAATTGCTACGTGTCCTGCACCCAACGTCAAGTTTTGAATGCCCCAGACCCCATACTATGCGCGAAGCATATCTTTGGGCCCACCTTAGCACTGAACTTAAAGCCTAAAACCTGAACCCTGAGTCTAAGCCAAAAGCCTGCACATCTAGCCTTGTCGTTTAACAACGACACCGCTTAGCAAGGGAAACAATAAACCCCAAACAGATAGCATGAAACACCATGAGTTTCCAACCTTTCTCCATCACACCCGCCCGTTCACTTCTATAAGACTCCATCTAACCCATGCAAAAGCAATCCCAATGAACCCGATAGCCCTGCCGAAACCTCAAGCCACACCAAAAGCCCTAGACCCTCAACAGAAATTGTTAAAAAAAGGGACTGCAAGCCTCAACTTGGCCCAGGTGCGGAACTGGAGTTCGCAGTTAGACCCGCACGTCGAGCAGCGCGCTTAAAGTTTCATCTTAGTCGCGGCTTTCAGGTTGAGGGTTTTTTGACCCCTTTGCCGAAAACCCTGAAAAGCTCCGCAAGCCCAGATCATTTGTGGGGATTTTCGGGTTCGGGTTTTAGGGTTTTGTGCAGCGGAGTAGGTGAACTTTAAACAGTTTTGGGTCTAGATGTTGCCTCGTAGCTTAGAGAATATCATTGAAACTACTGTCGCAGCCTGTTGAAAGTTTAGCCCTCGCTGGGTGCTTTAAGGAGTTATATCTTAAGTTGCCATAATCGGTCTCTCTCTCTCTCTCTCTCTCTCTCTCTCTCCAGATATGGAGTAAATGATCTGGTATCCTTGTTATGGCAACTTAATTTACGTTCCTTCCCGAGAACCCAGTTGATGAGGCCCACGAGTTGAGCCACTTCTCTATGTAGGGCTTTCTTGTAGGGCGGAATAGTTTGTGATATGATTCCCTTGGTCAGGACTTTGCACACCTGAAGAAGATATGATGTCCTAATACTCAGCACGGAATCATCTAACCATGAACCAAATAATCGAGTGCTCATGACCTGTAATCTACTGCCCTAGTTAGAGCCCTAAACCCCTAACCCCTAAACCCCTAAACCCCTGAACAAAGCCTACCCCCTAAACCCATAAACCCTAAACCCTGAACCCCTAAACCCCTAAACCCTAAACCCCAAAGCCCTAAAAGGCTCATCTTCAAAGACGGCCTGAAGCACACGCACCGGCGCTGGGTGCAGCGGAGGCCGGGTTCCATCTCCGAAGCGCCGGGAGCCCGGCAAAAGAATGGGCTGCGGTTTCTCGGTTTGAGGGTCCCAATATGGGGAGTAGGGCTTTTGTAAGGGTGAGGGTTTAGGGTTTAGGGTTGCTACTACGGGGAGTAGGGCTGCTATCGGGGCTAACGTTTTAGGATTTATGTTTAGGGGTGCCTGTACGGGCACTAGGGTTGTGTAGGGGTACTATTAAGGCGGTTTGGGCCTCGGGCTTAGAGTGTGGATTTTGTTCTTAGGGTTGAAAGGTTGAGTAGGGGTGTTGATTTCAGCGCTTGTTTGTGGTTCATCAGCCTGGTTGTCATCTATGTGGTTATGCTGTCTAGGACGTTTAAGACTTGTGGTGGGGTGTGGTGAGATCATCTAGGCTTATTGTTGCTGTTGGTGGTGGTGGCGGTGGTGGTGGGGCTTGCTTGTAGCAGCTATGTCAGGGCGTGTCGTTTTGGTGGACTGTAACCTGTAGGGTCTGGCTTATGATTCTTCGGGGTTTAGGGTTTCGGGGGTTGTCGTGAGTTCCGGATTTTCCGGATAGGGTGTACGGTACACTAGGAGAATGGTTGCGGAGATCTACAAGGACTGGGGGTCGTTCGGATTCACGGCTTAGGCACAGGGTGTAATGTACGCCCTTGATATGACTTCGATCATGGTACAACATTGTCAATGCCCGTTTCAGTAAGACTCCTTCCATGTCGGGCTTACTACACCCAAATCCTCAGCTGTATTTGTGAGGATGGCTTCTCTACAATGTACCACCGTCCTTGTTGAATAAGCTGCCGCTGTGTCAGCTGGGTGGAAAAGTCGGGGCGGACCTGGGCCCTGATTTGCTATGCAAAACAGAGCCTGAGCCCCTGAACTTGACCTTACAGCCCCAAGTCTTTCAAAGGGCCCCTGGACTTGTGTTTATAGGGTTCCTACCAGAGTTGTGTAAGTCGTTCTATGAGCCTTTATAAGGGGTTTATGTAGTTGCCCAATCAGTCGTCGGGCCGTTGCCGTTTTCAGCGGGATCGCGTCTTTGACCGAGGAATCAGTTGATTGTTGGCCACGTATATGAGTAAAGCGCAGGCAGTAAACATGCATCAGTGTTCAGGTATGCAGGTGTACCATATACGCATTGTAGTATCATGCTGAACATGTCGAATGGAATCATCCAGAATAATGTGCTTCGTACTGTCTATTGAGTCTATTGCATGCCTCGAAGCTGTACACAATGATGTAACATGTTGCCTGGGTACTGTTCCTGTTCCTTCCTGAAGCCACACACAGAATGCCGCCGGCCAAGGTTCGGAAAGCAGAAGGGCCAGCGTGGTGTGGTGCCCCGCTTGCATTTCAGCACGCTCAACACTTCTTCATTCAGGAGGTAATGTAGATTCCTGACGAACAAGCCCCTGTTCTCCAAGGGCCTTTGTCCAGGCCTACCTACATCCTTGAATTCTCCACTGTCACTTATGAACAGTTGATTGCTTGGCTTCGGGATTCAGCTCGTTGTTGCAGGGATAGGAACATGAGCAATCTGACTGTCAGGCCACGTCGGTTTGGCCCGCATGTTTCATGGGACTGCAGCTCAAACTGTAAATCCGCGAACCCTCAGTACTGCTATTTTTTCGCCCCAATCAAACCCGAAGCCCCAAACCTCCAAGGCACAGACACTGCTCCGACTTAAAGTCCTGAGTTCATGCTACGCGACAGTTTGTGGTTTAGGGTCGGGGGGGGGGGGGGGGCTTTGGGTTTACAGTTTGTCGTCTCGGGCCGTCCAACTTTGAGGCTTTGGTTCTGAACGGTAGGTAGGGTACCATAAAAGGCTGGCGGGTGGTCGTGACAGCTACAATTAAGGTGTTACAAGTACTTCACCCCGAGTCCCCAAGCCCTTGCTTTCAGGTGGGTGGTTGTCAAAATTATGGTCCCTTTTTGGGTCCCTTTTTTTTAATAATTCACCTATTATGCAAAGGTACCCAAAAAGGGACCATAACTTTGACAACCACCCAGGTGTATTATCCTAAATCTCAAGGCCGAAGCTCTGTCTTTACCCCATTGGCCCTCAAAGGAGAGGCCTGAAATGGTGGGTTCTGCGGGGTCCAGGAAATCCGAAACCTTACTTGAAGGCTCATGGGACTTAGTAAGTAAGGTTATAAGTGGGTTATACCTAGGATAAACCCACTTGGGGGACTTATAACCCCAAAATTATAACTCACTGACTAAGTCCCATGATCCGCTAAGTAATCCCAAAAGCGCTATGAAGCATCTGTAGCAAGACTCCGACTACCCAAAACGAAGATCTGTACAGCCAGACAACCCCCATGAAGCCATAACCCTTAATCCCCGAGCCCTCATATTATGGGACGGAAACGTAAATCGTCTATTGAAAACCACAGGCCCCAATGCCTAAATCCTGTTTTCAACCCGTGAACCCGAAGACCTACACCCGTTTTGTCGCACCCGTATAGGAAAAAAAACGCCTAAACCCTAAATCCTAAATCCTTAAACCCGAAACCTTAAATCCTAAATCCGAAAATCCCCAACGAAAAGCCTCAGGTCTTCATCGATCCGGACTACACGAGGGGAGGTGAAGCTGAGCGCTGCCACGCTATTGCTTCTCGGCCACTGTTTGGGGACTTTCTTTTTCTGTTGCTGTGTCTGGTGCTATTTGTTGAGCCTTAAGTATTTAAGGTTTGTGTTTTTTTTTTTTCCGGAGGGGTCCAGGGCTCAGGGTTTTAGGCCTGCCTGTTGCGAGTTTCGGGTTCAGGAGTTTGGGTTTAGGATTCTAGGGCTTGGGGCGGCTTGGGGTTTAAAGTTTACGCTAGGGTCTTTTAGGATCTTGCAGTGTGTTGCTTTGCGCTTCGGGCTAATGCTCCCAGAATGGAAAGAAGCTCAATCATAAGTCTTCAATACAGGTTTTGGGGGTATCACTGCCTGATCATCACCAAGAGAGCTCGAAAGCTTTTAGGGTTCGTTGACTGGTATATAGAGATCAGGTCTTACTGCTTACCGTACGAAGCTTTCGTTGGGGATTTGAGGCTTCAAGTGGCTCTCGTCTGGTTGGGCCGCTAGGACCCTAAAGTTTTGGTTACCTGTTTTGCAGCAAAGGCGTAACTCTTGGTATAGGTTCAAGTGTCGGAAACATGATGGCACTCAAATTTGGGCTTCGGGGTTCAGCGACTTCGGGTGTGAGGCTTCAGGGCTTTAGTTTGGGGGTTTGCAGGGTTTAGGGTGTACGGAGTCGAGGGTGTTTGGTTGCTGGGTGTTGGAGGTTTGCAGGTTTCCGCTGAACAGTAGCCACGGCATCAACTAATCATACAGGGCACCGAAAAATAGGCAGTATAGTACTAGTACTAGTACTAGTACTAGTACTAGTACTAGTACTAGTACTAGTACTAGTAGATAGTTGTAGGTAGTAGGTAGTAGGTAGTAGGTAGTAGGTAGTAGGTAGTAGGTAGTAGGTAGTAGGTAGCAGTAGTAGTAGCAGCAGCAGCAGTGGTAGTAGTAGTTAGTAGTAGTAGTAGTAGTAGTAGTAGTAGTAGTAGTAGTAGTAGTAGTAGTAGTAGTAGTAGTAGTAGTAGTAGTAGTAGTAGTAGTAGTAGTAGTAGTAGTAGGTAGTAGTAGTAGTAGTAGTAGTAGTAGTAGTAGTAGTAGTAGTAGTAGTAGTAGTAGTAGTAGTAGTAGTAGTAGTAGTAGTAGTAGTAGTAGTAGTAGTAGTAGTAGTAGTAGTAGTAGTAGTAGTAGTAGTAGTAGTAGTAGTAGTAGTAGTAGTAGTAGTAGTAGTAGTAGTAGTAGTAGTAGTAGTAGTAGTAGTAGTAGTAGTAGTAGTAGTAGTAGTAGTAGTAGTAGTAGTAGTAGTAGTAGTAGTAGTAGTAGTAGTAGTAGTAGTAGTAGTAGTAGTAGTAGTAGTAGTAGTAGTAGTAGTAGTGGTAGTAGTAGTAGTAGTAGTAGTAGTAGTAGTAGTAGTCCTTCCAGTGCATATGCACGTGTAGAAAAATATGCCCTAAAGGGATTCCGGCCCACTTTGGCTTGTGCTGTTCAGGTGGTGGATCTCTGGAAGCATTGGCGGTCGGCGACGGTGATGGTGACGTACCCGATAGGCTTCGACCTGCTGCTGTTTAGGGTTAGGCTTTGAACCCTAAGCCCCAGTCGCCAAGCTTAAGCTCCTAAATCCTCAAACCCAGTTTTTGCATGTGAAGGTGCGCGGTAGGAGCTACGGTCTAGGGCAGGCGAGGGTTTAAGGTCCACTTGGGTACGTGGTTTGAGGGTTTAGCTTTGGGGTTTGGGGTGTCTGGTTTCTAGGATTTTACTGTGGAGAGTTTGAGTTTAGAGCTTGGTGTAGGATGCAGGGTTGTGCAAATAATTGCTGGATATCGCTTTTCTTGGAACCACAGGTTTTATTCTGCCCCTAACCCACATTTCTTGGAACCATAGGTTTTATTCTGCCCCTAACCCGCATAGCGTAAAGACCCGCAGCTTTGCACGAAAGGCTTGAAACGATAAAACCGCAATACTGGGTTTTGCTGCATCTGGGTTGTCCTTGGGGATTTTCCCCTACTATTTTGTAGAGAACCATAATAGTAAATGATTGTCAAACGGCTTAAAGGACAACTCCGACATTCATGTACCTCCAGGATGAGATCCCATGAACAGTAGTCTTTCCAGCTGAGTCTGGAAACCTTGGAACGCTTTGCATGCATGGAATCTAGTAGACCTAGCAGATTAGCTTTCTTGTGCCAAGGAAGCACTGAATATCTGAATATCTTCGATTCTGGATTATCGGGCTCCTAAACCCCCAGAACACAGAGTCCCGGCACCCCGAAAATCCCACAGTCCGTAGACCAACAAAAGCTGCACCAACCTCTCATATCTTGTCCCTACTCTCCCGTTGTTAAAACACCAAACCGCCAAATGCGCCTCCTTGGAAGTGAGCCCGGCCTCCCCCCGCACTGCGAAGCAGGCCCCAAGTACGAGAAGAAGGCGAGAGCCACATCCCCAGCTCCAGATGGGTCGGGAAAGGGGCCAACGGTAAATTCCTTCATTCCGGGGCTCCTTTTACGGGCTCTGTAGCCTGTTATAGCCTTTCATCAAATGGTGTCGGAACAACGAGTATCCAAGTGAGCATCCCGTTACAGTCGCCATACAAATATCCCTACCTCCGAACCGTAGTCCAATTGCAGGCTAAGGCCCCGAATTACGTTGGCTCACGTTGGCTCTGTTTTGGAAGGGGTTGCAATTCAGGGTTTCGAGCTTAGGGTCTGGAAGGCATCGGAAATTGGGGGAGGAGCCAGGGATTGGGATTTAGGGTTAGGTTCAGAGTTCGTGAGGAGGCTATAGAGAGCTCTGACTAAACCTATGCCGGCTGAGACCATCCACAGAGACGAAGATGTCTGTAGAGCCTTCATGTCAGCATTGGCTCCGGCATGGTCGGGTGAAGAGTGCGGGAGGTCAGGTTCTCTGTATCGAGCATGGTGGGCTTGTGGTTTACGGTTTACGAGTTCAGAGTTTAGGGGTTTGGAGCTTTGGGTTTAAAGGTGAGGTGCTTCATCGCAGTAGGACGACATGGATCTCCTGGGTATACTTGGACCAACTCTTTGTAAAGACTGTACGAAGACCGAAACCACATTCGCTTCGAAGTCCCTGCTTTGCTTTACTCTGTGCAACTTAAGCCCGAAGCCCCTAAACCCAAAGCCTGACCCGAAACCATCCGAATCCCCAAAAGCCCTACATACTACTGGAGTTTCCGAAAATAGGGGACCCTAATATAGTGCCCTAAATAATGGGATCCTTATTATGAGGACCCAAAATAAGGTACCCCTATTTTCGGAAACTCCCATATTACTGGAACTTAAAGCAAGCTTTCTCCTGGAACCTCTGCCCTGGTCCCCAACCGAGCCTTTGGGTTTGGGGTTTTCGGGAGCCCATTTACTTCAGTGATGGGTTGCTATGAGAGGATTTTTAGGGACAGGAATTTGCGCCCGTGCTGAAGAGGTAACTGCCTGTAACCAGGCTTCTAATGTAACGGCCTAGATTAATAAATACCAACACTACTGTGGGGGTTCCCTATTGTGACTGTAGTATAATGGGCCCCCCGAAACCCTATTCAAAGTATGAAGGCCTCCAGGTTAGGCTTATTATAGCCCCTGATTTCGCCGGCCGATGCCCACGCCGCCAAGGACTTCAATCGAAAGCTTCGCCAGGCGGACAAGACGCTTGACTTGCTCACCATCGAGGCCTATGCCGCCTGGCCCAAATGGAGATGTGCATAAAGGATGCCTGTGTAGTAGGGATCCATGAAGTTAGCCTCATGAGACCTAGAGTCTCGTCGTTGAAGGGTCCGTGGCTACCCGTTTCGGGGCATAGCTTCAGGACTGTGGATGTTTCGAGTTTTCCCTGCAAACATGTGACGACTCTGCAAGCCTGACACTCGCAAGATAACTCCCCAACGTGTAAGGTTGAGAACAAGGACTGGCACGAGAACAGCGAGGACCGCCAGTAGCTCAAGGGCTCACTGTTTGTCTCTGTGTGTGTGTGTGTGTTGTTTGTGCGCGTTCTTGAAGAATGATCACTCTCAAACGTTCATGGTCTGTTTCTATTCTTATTGAGTCTCGGGTACCCGAAGTTAAGCATTAGTCCACGAAGTATACAGTATGCTTAGCCAGGTGAAACGTGTTCCATCATAATGTCCTGGCCCTGATCCTAGGGGGCTCCTTGTGGCAGCTCTCTAAACTAAACCCTATAGATCCTTTTAAGGGGCCCTTTAAGGAACCCTTACTAAGCTGAATACCGAACTTAAGACTGATATTGAATTTAGGCTCTCGAGGTTATTACCTTAAGCGTGAATAACCTGCCTTTTGGGGGGTTCCTTATTGTGAGTTCCTTATGTAAGTCCTTAGATAGGTAGGTTGTTCCGGGTTAAGGTAGGGTTGAGGGAGCCAAGCGGCAAGACCGTGGAATATCATAGGGAACATGGCTCTCTGCAAAAGCCCCCTGATTCATAGAGCCCCACATAGCTCCATGGATACGTTGCAGACACGCGCATGAGACAGGAGGCACAGTGAGCAAGCGTGAACGGCAGCAACAATCATGATTCAGGGCTTCTGCATACGTACGCACACCATCCTAGTACCCAACAGTTCCAAACACACTCCAAACCCCAGCTCGGCGGACCATACGCAGTGGTAAGTAGTCGTTCGGGGCTAAATGAATATAAATGAATCTTGCTGCCTCACCATAGCTTTTTTCACCTGGATGCTCAGGGGACCCATAATCAGGGTATACAGCAAGTACTGTAGCAGTAACGTTCTAAGTAGGTGCCCGAAGTGGGATCATCTAGCTCCACCACCTACCTTTTTAAGAATAGGTCCAAGACAACGCGTCCCCGATTCGTCTAATCATTCGCTTTACCTGATAAAACTGTTCAACTCTAGCTATCCTGAGGGAAACTTCGGAGGGAACCAGCTACTAGATGGTTCGATTAGTCTTTCGCCCCTATACCCACGTATGACGAACGATTTGCACGTCAGTACCGCTACGAGCCTCCATCAGAGTTTCACCTGACTTTGCCCTTCGCAGGCATAGTTCACCATCTTTCGGGTCCTAACACACATGCTCTTGCTCAAACTTCTCCCAATTGATTGGTCGGTTGCTGGTGCAAAAATCCCAGCAGTCACCTTCCTTGCGCACAGAGGTTTGACACCTGAGAACTTGCACAAGTGCTAGACTCCTTGGTCCGTGTTTCAAGACGGGTCGAATGGAACTAATTGATCAACAATCCACACAAGACGAAGCGGTTCACCGAGAGGCTCTCCGGGGACTTCAAACTGCTAAGCATGTGACGACGAACTCGAGAAAATGGAGAGCACCTGCGAGTGGCGAGCAGACCCCGTGTTTGGGAAGGTGTACAAAGTGCACTTGGCCCCTTAAGTCGTGGAGAGAGTGAACGACGAAGTGCAGCGAAAGCTGGTGGAGATGGGGACCGCTTTCAGAACAAAAGTGGTTGCGGCGGGAGGCGACAGGCTGGCTCTGCAGGACGGCGCAGCGAACGAGACTCATTACGAGAACCGGGAGTAAGACAACTACGTGAATCCCAAGCTTGCATCCCTCACACTTTAAAGCCTTAAACTCCCTAGCCCTAAACCCGGCAATCCGTATAACCACTGAGTCGTCGACCCCAACCTTTGATCTATAAACCTTTTCGCCGCAATCTTCGAGCCTCACAACTGGAAGTCGCCTGGGGCTCCAAGTGTTAGACCCAGGATGATAGTTATACCCTACTTAGTGCTAGAGTGCACTTACCCACCCGTTCCAGGAGGATAAGTGGCGTGGTTATGGCGTCCTGATCTCGCAAGCACCCGGCAGCTGGACCTGTTTAGAAAAGTGGGCGTCGTGTAGAGTTTCAGGTTTTGCCGTTGAAGGTTTGTGTTTTGGGTTCCACAACCACTTGCAAGTTTGAATCTGCCAGAAGAAAATATTATCAGTTCATCCTACGTAGTTCTCTAGTGACTTTATGTTGGAACAGCGAGCTTTCACAGCCTTGACCTGGGAGTGCGTTTGGTGCAGTGGCTCCAGAAACCTGGAACTTCAGGTACGGTGCAAAGAGTTCATTTTTGGCGCTCGATGGCTGTAGGGGATTACACCTAATTAGGAGGATAAGGAGCTCCTTGAGACCGTAAAACAACTGTTGAAATGCAGGGCCCATTAAGCCTTCTTAAGTCCCTATACCCGACTTTATAACAGGGTTCAGAAAACGAGGGTTTGGAGCCTCGAGGCTGTGGGTGCAGAGCTGAGATCTTGCGATGCCTGTAGGCTCAATGTTTGCCAGACGTTACTCATCTAGAGAAGCCGCAAGCCCATACTTGAGGAATGTACCTTCACCTATAAAGGGGTCCTGAACATTTATATGCGTGTATACATATATATATATATGTGTGTGTGTGCGCTTTTTCCTTGTTTGAAGATTTTTGTTTTTGCGGTTGTACCAGTTCAGGGTACATGATGTATCGCAGCGCAGGTTTCCCCAAACCCGACACCACGCAATATGTCACAGACCCGAAACAGAACTGCTCACAGAATAAGGCCTGATAGGCCCAAATAATGCCCTAGCCCTCAACCTCTTTCCCGACACCGGCTTTTCACCCAGACCATCATGATGTACTACGTAAGGCCGTATACACCATTCCAAAACCCTTCACCGTTTTAGAAGCCCTCGGCAGTCCCTATATCACCCCTTCCAGAAGCCGCTTTAACGCCCGTACCTTCTAGACCGCACTAGAATCACTGGCACCGCTTTACTCAATATCCTCTAAAGCCGTTCTAAAACTTCATACACACCCATATACACGCCATATCAACTTTAAATCCTCAATCAACGCCTACGCCGAGGAACGACGGCCGAGAGAGCCCAGGCAGCGCTGAAGGCTGAGTTTTGGCAGTTGTTTGAAGGGGGTGGGGATGCGCTCCAGGGCTTGGAGGCTTTACGGGAGTTGGGCTTTTGGCCTGAGGTTACGGAGCTCGGAGTCTGGAGAATTCGTTGGGGTCTTTTGGGTTTAGGGTTCGAGTCTTTGTGTTGGATTAAGAAATTTTGGGAGTCAGAGTTTGCGATTTGTTGGGGTTGGTTTTATGGTCTTGAGGGTTCGGGCTAGGGCCAGGGCCCATGATGCTTTAGGGTGGCATGGGGCCGTTGGAGGATTCAGGGTGAAGGGTTGGGGCTGTGTGTTGTGTTTCGGTTGAGGGTTCCGGGCTTTGAGGCTTGAGTTCGGGGTTGTAGGGTTAGGGGGTCAGGTTCTATAGTTTTAGTGTTGAGGATCTGGGTTTTAGGGCTCCTGCGATTGAAGGGATTTTAGGTTGCTTGCATGAGCATGCGAGCGGCGAAGTGAAGACGAATGTGCGAAGATTTTGCCTTTACAGCCTACAGAAGAGATGTGGGTAGGGATGTCCTGTATTAGTGTCAATGTCGCAGCACCGAGGCCATGCCCACTTGACGCACGGGACGAAGGAATCCCAAATGGTGTGCATGTGCATGCCACCAGGAAGCCCCTCTGCGGCTGAAGGTGACTGCCGAAGCATATCCGCGGAGACTCGCGGCAGCTCAGAAGACTGTATAAACCCAAAGTTTGCCCAGGCGCTGAACTGGAAGTGCATCATATGCATCAGAATGCGCCGTAACCGCAGAGGGGAAAGAGTTCTCTGGAAAGGGTCTTCGGGCTTCGCGTCTTTGTCCCAAACTCTGCATGCCTTAACTGGTAGCCGTCAAGCCCCAGTAGTCAGTATGCAGCAATAAAAGCCCTGTTGCTTGCTATTGTTAGGGCTCCAACAGTAATATAGAAGTCTGAAGAATTGCGATAGCAGTGTAACATCTACACAGGGTTCCTAAATCTACTCTCAATATAATATACTCCCGTTCCAGACCCTGCCCAATCTTAAACACCCCAACAGTACTAAGACCATCCACCCTAAAGGACCATGAGGCTGTTGGGTTTTTGTTTGCGAGGTACTAAGACAATAAACCCCTAAACCCCAAAGCCCTGAACCGGAAAGCCAATACTCTCAGGCCAAGGGTGTATTCCCAGAAAAAAAGGGGGTGGCTGGGGGTTGCAGTAGGGTGAGGGGTCTCGAGTCTGGAGTTTGGGGCATGGGGTTTGGGGCAAAGTTTGGGGTATAGAGTTTTGCTGGGATTTTTATTATGTTACGAAGATGTAAAGCCGATACTCCGGATGATCAAAACCCTGCCTTTCTCCGAAGCCCTAAATCCTAAACCCCTAAAGCCGAAGCCCTACACCCTAAACCCCTGAACCCTAAATCTCAAAGCCCCTTGGTCTCGATGTTTTGAGCGTGGCACAACCGGTTTTTCGACCCACTGAAAGGATCATGGGGCTTCGTTGGCAGGGTCATAAGTAGGATAACTAATGGTAGCTACAGTTTTATGCACTTGTGACCCCAAGCAGACCCCAAGCCTCAATTCATACTTCATACTTGCTAAACCCTATAAACCCAAAAGACCTCCGATCCCCCTATAACATCTACAGAACAAGACTTGCCGCGGCCCGCAGGTGATTTGCGATGCGCTGGCGACGATGCCCGAAGCGCATCCGATGCACATCCGGATAGAACGGCTTTGAGTGCCCTTTTTGCACCTATATTTGTCCTCTACACCAAGCCAGTAGTGCTATTTTCTCCCAAATAGCAAACGTATAGTTAGTTCTTCCTAGTACTCCAATAACCAAGCTTCATGCAGTTGCGGCTCGCTTGGTACAGTCGCACATTGATGAAGTAAACGTCGCTTTTCGATGTAGGCTCGCGGGTTGGGGGTCAGAATAGTCGCATTAATATGAAAGGAATACACAAATGAATCAGCAAATAATTAAATGCAAGAGCAAATAAACATGCAACGTGTGTATGTGTTTGTATTATCTTATATATATATATATATATATACATATATATATATATATATACATATATATATATATATATATATATGTATATATATATGTATATATATATATATATATTAATTTCTATGCATGTACTTAAAGCAACATTTTAGTATATTGACAAAGACTATGAACGTCTAAGGTTTTTAGGGTCTAGGGCTGCGGATGTAGGACAGAGAATTTCGGCTAAAGGGCAACTGAGTGCAGCATGGAGTTTGGGTATAGGGGGTCCCGGGTGCAGGCTGTAGTTGTAGGATATATCACAGATTTTGGTTTGTGGGGTTCGTGTCGTTGCCTCAGGAGGTTTCTGTTTTAGGTCGTAGCTAATGCTGTTGCTAATGACTAATCACTACATAATTTTCAGATCATTGCTAATTACTGCGAGGATTGGTAGGTTGTTTTTGTTGTGGGTGTGGCCAGTTTGCAGTGCTGCTGGAGTCAGGGCGGTTCTACTTGGGTTCATGGCCCAAGGGGTCCAAGTATCAGTAGAGTAGGTAATTAGTAGCTTAGTAGGTCCCAAAGTATATACTATGCTATGACTTGGACCCTTTGGGTGGGTGGTCAGATTTCCTAGTCCACTTTCGGACCGAGTGAGTCGAATTCAACACTTTGCGCTTTACTATAGGTGTCTGAGTTTCGATGATGCAAGAAGTAGCACTTCACTCGTACTTTGGGGCTCTGAATTTAGATGATGCAACAAGTAGTTATCCTGTAACATAGCCCAATTAATTTCAATTGCCTGAAGCACTTCTATCAGGTTTTCCCACTGGGACCCTCAAGAGAAAAGCTCTGAAACCCGGGAAACACACAAAATCCCGAACCCACGACTGAAGCCCAAAACCTGTCCTCAACGCTCGATTCTGTCGGTGTGCACGGATTAGGTCCTTAGGTATTGACGACGGAAGTGGCACATGCCAGCCGCAGCCGGCGTGCCCCAAAAAAGAACCTTCTTCCGTGAGCCAGCTTTTGGATTTTGATTTTGTGGCCTACTGTTAAGTTAGGAAAGGGGCGACATAGGGGCCTCTGCATGACCAGTACAAGTATTCCATTCGTAGTCGCTGACAAGCTTACAAATACATGCACATATCGATTTAGCTGAATGCCGTGATCCTTCGGGCATTGAGGATTTTGCTTGTGGGGCTTGGGGCGTACGACTGTGCAGGGGTTTGGGTACCTAAACCTTGAACTAGCTTTAACCCCATAAGGGTTAGGCGGTTTTAGGTGTTACGGATAAACCCTAAGCCCCAAACCAAACACCCTAACTGATCCGCAAGTTTCCTTGCACTTTCGCAGCCGTTGAGCGGCTCAGCCCACTGAGTGGTTATGACTCCCGTCACCACAAAGTGGTCGTTACGAAGTCCTCTGCCAGGGACTCGGTTGATACGTTGCTTGGGCTCAGGTGTGAGGGGGTTAGGAGCTCCAGAGGGTTCACTTTGCGTGAAGCAAATCTCGACGCCTGCCTGTGCAACTCCAGCGCTTGCTTCCCGCCCAGGTGATACACAGATCCCTACATGTTCCATGCGCGCGGCTCGTTGGCAAAGTGGCAGAGCGCTTTGCGGCAACGCAAAGGGATCCAGTAAGCACAAGCTTGAGGCTTCTTCCTGCAAGTACATGTCATTCAGCGAAAGCATATGTGAACACGTTTGGTGGCATATTCGGGAATCCAAGCGCCAAAACAGGAATCATATATATATATATAATATAATATAATATAATATAATATAATATAATATAATATAATATAATATAGTATATTATAATATAATATAGTATATTATAATATAATATAATATAATATAATATAACATAACATAATATAATATAATATAACATAATATATAATATAATATAATATAATATAATATAATATAATATAATATAATATAATATAATATAATATAATATAATATAATATAATATAATATAATATAATATAACATAACATAACATAACATAATATATATATATATATATATATATATGATTGGGTTTCAAGCAGAGCACATCACTGCTGTACAGAGTTGAGAGGCGCTCTCAAACCTGGAACACGCCAGGCTTTCCTTGCCCGGTTGAAGTAAAGTAAAAGCCAGAAAGTCGGAATATGATTATCCTAAACCCTTCATGGTAAGTTAAAAGATATCCTACCCTGAAACCATATTCCAACTTTCTGGAGTTCCCTTTAGGGGTTAGACTCATTCAGACCGTCATGGTAAAACGAAAGAGTGAAGCCTACTTAACACGCACCGCCCGCCACAGCTCTTTGGACACCCCTTGTAGCTTAAAACACTGGGTAGTCTCTTTTTAACCTTAAGTCCCACAGAAACCTACGGCTGAGCGACGAAATCCTTCAGTGCCCTCAGTATCCTGGCAAATCCTTGTGACTGGCAGGGTGAGACTTCGTTGCTCAGCCGGAGTTGAACCTATCTTGGACCCTACAACTGCCCTCGAAACCTAAACATTGATCCCCAACGCTGCCCAAAACGCCGAACCCTTGGGCCAGAGCTGCATACCCACAATTCCTGAACCCTGAGCCCCACAATCCTGAAGCCGCTTCCTGAATCGCTCGCTTCAGGGTTCAAAGGTCTCCAAACCCTCGTTTTTGTGAACTTCAACCCCCGAAACAAAAGGGGCACCCCTCAATCCTAAATCCTAAACCCTAAATCGTCAAAATCCTCCAAAGCCCCGACCCCTCAAAACTAAATCCTAAACCCTAAATCCTTAAAATCCTCCAAAGCCCGGGCAGCCTCAAAGAAGCGAAGGCATGCTCAAAGCCGGCAGAGCATCCTCCAAGGCCCTTCCCTTTGTCCTTAGGGGTACTTTAAGCCCATTTTTTTTTTAATTTTTGGGTTGTTGTAATCTCTAAGAAGCAGCTGAAATTACAATTTTTGGTAGGGTTCTAATGGCTTCTTCTAAAGATTCTAGAGGGTATCTTGAGGGGTTCTATATGAGTTCGCGATCAAAGGGTATCTTGAAGGTTATTTTCATAATTGCCGAGTATGATTAAAGGGTATTATCGGATTCTACAATCATTCACCATAAATTCACGGATGTTATAGGGTTCTATATGGTTCTGTAATAGGATTTCTTGCGTTGGATGGCTTTTTTCCAGGGTCAGGATAAGGGTTGCCTGTGAGCCTGCAGGGGCTTGTGATGTGGAGGTTGGTCGGCGTGAGGCGTTTGTTTCTTTTTGAAAGGCAGGGAGGGTGGTGGGGGTTTGGAACTTTGATTTGCCAGGGCACGAACGCCTTAGGCCTGCAGGGTTCGGGTGTTTTAGGGTCTGTTGTTTTTCTTCGAGGATGAGGCTATGGATCTAAGGATCTAAGGTTTTAGGATTTCTAGCTTGGTCTTCTATACGTTGTTGGGAAGGGCTTTCGCAAGATTTAGCGAGTTCATAAGGCTTCAAAGGGTAAATGGTTTTAGTAGAAAGGGCTTTGGGCGTTAATGGCTGGAGAGATTCGAACTCGGCCAGGGTCTCGAGATCCTGCTAGGAAGGCAGCTTGAGTTTACGAATAAATTTGCAAAACTCAACCAAGGATAAGTGCAAGTAGCGGAAGCTCAGAAGTAGCGGAAGCTCAGAAGCCCTGCATCAGCCTAGACAATGCCCTGAACTCTAAACCGCTCGTCTTTTGTGTCTGGTTCTGGTTCTTATACCTGCTTTTCGTTGTCTCTCATCGTTCTTAGATGTCGAAGAAACGAAGAAACTACTGCGAGGAGCTTGCGTCGTGTTGCGGCTAGCCCCCAAACCCAAAATAGCAAGTGAAAGCAAGAGGCGCCCTTTGTGGACTGCCATCCTTTCCTTGGACTGCCATCTCTTCCAACGGAAACGATGTTGGGGCACCTGTTGTCTCCGGCGACTCATCACGTACCCCAAGCAGAGCAGTATAGTGGCATTTGGTCCGTGTTTAGATTAAGTCCCCTAGTAGTACTCATTTGTATTTCGGGTTTGATTGATTTCATCCTAGCATCCCCACCTTACATGGTCCCTCAAAGCCAACAGCACCAAAACCAGCAAGCCTCGTTTCCGCGGCTTCGGGAAGCATATGGCGGACTAATTCTTGTTGAAGCTTCTACCTTGGACCTTTGACACCCTCTTGGCTAAAGCGCGTAGACCCCAATACATATGCCGCGACGAGCCTGAAGCTCGAAATCACCTTATCCCATTCAAAACTTCAAAGGCTTGCAAAACTAACACCATTACCAGGCCCTCATATCTGACAAGGCATTACAAATCCTCCTGGACCGCTAACTACCCGAACGGTAGGCCCTTAATACCTCCGAATAAGGAATATGAGACCGCCCGTTCAAGGGAAGTTGCGATTTCTGAGCGAACCAGGCACTTGGGTTGCCGTCGTTGGCCCTCTTGGCGCTCATCGATGTTTCGCTAGCAGATGCTTGGTCAAGCAGGGAGGTCATGCTTGTACGATTTGAGGTTCAGAGTTCAGGCTAAGGTCATAGGTTGAGAGTTCTCCTGTAGCCCAACAGACCTACATCTGTATGAGGTTCCTTAAATAGGCGGCCGGTCTATATCTTCTTGCAGAGGTAGGTAGACATTCGGGTTTCGGGCTTGGGCTCGGAAGAGTGCTAGAAAGACTGTCGAACGGATATTTATGGGGAATCATGGAGGCCAAAAGGTCTGAGTGCCTGCGTTTTGTTTTGGGGTGGAGGGGAGGTGGCGCGAAGCGGGG